GCAGACGACTGCAAAGGAGTGCGCAGTTCTTCATGGTTGCGTCGAGTCAAAGATCACCTTCGTTCTTTAATGACCAAGGACAGGACGAACGCTTTCTCCGTGCGGAACTATTTCCCCTCGAATGACATTTTTGTAACGCAGAAGGCAAGAGCTTCGGACACGTGGGTAATTAAGTATTTTTTTCTTATATATTTTTAACGTGTTTTTTATAGGGCAAGTGCTGCTCAACTTTACGCTTACTCTGACTGCAATATTTGGTATTGCTCGAGGGACGAAAAAAAAGTGTATCTGCCACTGACCTCACACCAACCAAAACACAAAATACGGAGTATTTACGCCCGTGTAGAGAGTTGTACAAGGTTGCAGAAAATTTTAGAGAACGACAGCACTTTCGAGAGTGTGCGACCATTATTTGGAAGCTATCGTCGTCCTGGAGTCTGGTAAAATAAAAGTTTTTTGATAAGACTTACGAAAATATTTTCTGTCCCACGTTTCATAAAAGTACATGTACACAGTAGGCCACGGAAGAAAAAAAACAGTCTTTTGTTTCAATTAATTGTTTCCAATCTGTAAATGTTCATAATACTTAAATGTGAATATGTGAGTTTAGTGTCTCACAAACTTCGAAAAACGTCTTCACCTTCCTTTACCATTATTTTACATATAATCCGCGTTATTCTAGTGGCCTTTGGCCGGCGTGTTAGGGGAATGTAAAGGGAAGTAGTGGGGAACTTTTTCAGAATCAACGTACCTCACTGCAGCATGTTCGACCGCAACTACTATAGTCTTCTGATAAACATCTGCCGCACGTACCCAATTCTCGAGACTCGAAGAAAACAACTCCGGATTTTTATGGCACTAGAGTGTAGCTATAACACCACCATTTTTACTGCGACAAAGTATTTAAAAGTACTTGAATAGGAGGCGTCTTAAAAGCGTCCTTCCATCTACAGAGAAGAAGGCGGTGAAACGTCTTAAGGTCCAGAATGGACGAAACCTGAAAAACTGACGCCTTCACCAAGAGAAAGACGAAGGTTTAGATTTTCTTAGGGAAAAATTCATTGCTCGCAGAAATTTATGAAAAACGATATTACCGTGGGAACAGTGGTCAACACGTAAAATGTTATGAAAACGAAATCAACCAAACTTGACTAATTTTAGGCTGCTGATCACGAAAATCACATTAAAATTAGCTGATTGGCTCCTGTTTTCGAATTACGGTTGGGGTCTCATTAGCGAGTTACTCTACATTATTATCAGTTATAGTACCACCACGCTCTTAAAATGTGATCAGCAACAGTCACCCTGCTCTGCATTACGTTGTTGCCGCCTCAAATGCATCTTAAACTCTTGCAATATTCCTCGAATCCGGCCAGGTACTGGGTAATTTGTTCTCAGTGAACGGTTCTCTGCAAGATTCCTACTTCTTGTGCAGTATTTGTGTCGTGTAAGATTAATATGCCCCGTAATTGTGTGAATAGTCCAGATAACTTCTGTTACGTATGTGGAGGTCACGTTTGCTTCAAGAAAGTGTACGTTAACTCAAGACATAAAAAAGGCTTAAGAATTGTACTTTGGGTGTAAAGTAGGCGACCAGGACAAGAACTGGACTCCACACATACGTTGCACTACCTGTTCATCAAAACTCAACGCGAGGGTGAATCATAAGGGACGTTCTGTGCCTTTCGCAGTGCCCATCATATGGAGGGAGCCAACAAATCACATCACAGACTGTTACTTCTGTACGGTGCCTCCTATTCGCAAAGGGGTGACAATGAATAAAAAGTGGACAGTAAAGTGCCCAAATATACCATCTGCAATTATCCCCATCCCTCAAGGTGAACTATACCTATTCCTGGACCACCAGAAAGTTTTTCTTTAGACTCTGATGAAGTTGAAGGCACTGATGATGTTCATGTTGAGCTTGAATACACGAAGAAGTACAGCAGCCGTCTATGTCAAGGGAGCCACCATTTTGAACAAGCCTCTATCCGTCTGAGCCACATAAGTTAACAGAAAGTGAGCTTAATGACCTCATCAGGGATCTCAAACTGCCGAAGAATAAGGCAGAGCTTTTGGCCTCGAGGCTACGACAGTGGAATCATCTAGATCATTCTGTGGAAGTGACAACATTTCTTACTCAAAATAAAGACTGTGATAAATTCTATCAAACAGAGGGTGAACTCACTGACTTCTTATGGAAAACTCAGGTGCAACTTGTCATTTAAGATGCATTTCTTGAACTCACACCTGGATTTCTTCCCTTCAAAATGTGATGCAGTCAGCGACGAACATGGTGAGCACTTCCATTAAGACATCTCAGCGATTGAGCAAAGATACAAAAGCAAATGGAGTGATTATTGTTGGTTGGTGAAAAGGGATACTCCTGCAGCTAAAACAAGCGAATGGCGAAAAGGCGCTGTGTTTGACAAAGGTATATTCGTAGATATATCTTACTGCCATATATAACTAAAAATACCTTGTATAAATATAACAAACTAGTTTTTTTTTCGAAAACAAGAACCAATTAAGCACTATTTCCGTGTTTAGCACCTCAAAATCCATGAAGTAAATTTTCTTTCACGTCCATAACAAGAAATGACCCAAAATTTGTTGGACAGTGTAATTCACAAAACTGGGCAGTTAGGACTACAGCGAGAGAATCCTGCTCCTCGGTTTTCAGCTGCAGTCCTGAAGAGTGGGTCACCTGCGTGAAGCATCGAGCGGACAACCGAAGGTCACTTGGCGGCGGACATATAAAGTCGCGAGTCCGCCCCACACACGTGACAGTCAGATTCATCGCATCATGGCAGAGAGGTTCAAGTCTGTGCTCCTTGTGGCAGCAGCGGCCGTGGCCGTGTGTTCCTTCTGCGTCACACTGGGTGAGTACAGCCTGGGGGCTGAGACCCTATTACTCATTTACATTCTGACTACGCTCTACCATGAGCGAAGAACATCTTTTGGGCCCGTTCATGTCTCTCCGTCTGTCAGAAACAATACGACCTGAAATCCCAATAATGGAACACAGTGTCGCGCGACAACGAAACCTAGGATCAGAACAGTGCAAGAATGACCTACGACGAAACAATGACCTGCGTGATGTGGCTTTTAGAAAACACCCTTGGAATGTCAATGTTCTCCAAAGAGTACATCTTTCCAATCTTCTTGTTATTACTATTATTTTTTATTGCGTGTTCAAACTGTTTTGTGTTTGAAACACATCAATACATTAACTCAATGAAATCAGCTGAGGTTGTTCATATAACATAATGATAACAACAGAGCTGATGTCGCTTCGGTGGTAATCAAACACCACGCCATGAAGATTATTCGGAGGTGTTGCTCCACGCATTCTTAGCCTTGGCACTGTATGAAGCTGAGTGATTTGGTTCACGTCGTGACCACTTTATTCCTCAGTGCCCAATGGATAATAGGTTGGTTGGGCGAAGAGAAAAATGTCTGCCGTCCAACCCTTAGCCTAGTCAGAATTATTTCGTCGCCCAGGAGTCACAACGTAAGAAAACAAAAAGTCCCCAGAAAGTTTCGTAAGGCGACGTCAGTAAATAAATCTGTTATTGACGTTGTTATTAAATAGTTGCTACGACTGTTTAAGTAAGTCACAAACTTATCGTCGCACAACTGTTCCGTGGAGAGAGAGTTCTTTCTCCCGGCGTGACAATTTCCGAAGGCCGGCTAGAGAAAGAATACTTACCGCGGATCCCCCAGACCACCGCAACGCCCTCTACCTGCAAACGAAAGCAACACGACACGAAACAAACGCTGACTTCCCATCCATGCACCAGACCGGATTCGAAGCCACAATTCTAGTGTTCGAGTAGTTTAAGACCGTACGTAATCTAATTGGCTTTAGACGAACGATTTGCGTGGAATTAGGCCTGCGCACCTGGAAGTAAGAAACTGCAGTTACGGTCGCAACTTGACTCACGGGGAAGGAAGGGATTTTATAAGCTTATAAAATATTGCAGGAAACATTCTGCTTTTCCGAAACTAATAAACGGGGGAGGATTTATCCACAAAAGCTGACTCATATCCATAAAATATAACCCCTTACTACCGTATTTCCCAGATTTTAATACCCAACTTTTTAATATTTTAACATTTGATGGCGTCTAAGAATCGATGGCTTTTTAAAATCGAGGAAATACTGTAATTCGCTTTGAGATAAATCCGGACGAAAACAATTTTCCAAGAAACGACTCAGGAGATAACATTGACCTAATACAACCGTGTCTGAAACTCTTTCAATATGGCGAATGTTTACCTAAATACAAGGATAAGCCATTTCCAACTCATGCAGCATGATGTCTGCGGTCTATTTAGTCTTGCAACAATGAATATTATATCAAATAAATTAACATAAAATTCAACCGAAAATAACGTGTTTAAAAAATAATTTTACTCTGTCTGGAGTACACTAGCTTGAGACGCTCGTCTCTTTGTGAAATATTCATCATGGGATTCTCCTTTTTGACTCTCGGTTGTTAACATTCGTAGGATATGCAACGGTGTCATTAAGGATAATAACACTTGCGGTTGCTAGAAACAATGACGAGGATAACGAACTCCCAAGGTACAATTTGGCTGCACGCGACAGAGACAAGAGACCGAGGCAGGCGACAGAGTTACGAGACCGAGACTGGTCGCTTCCTGTCTGCTCTCTGTACAATCGTATGAAGTACAATTACGAGCGCGAGACAAAGACAGGCGACAGAGACAAAGCACAGGAGACCGCTCTCGGACCAGTAGTGTCTCGCGACGGGCTCAGGCAGCACGTGTGTTGTTGAGTAAAATAATGGCAGAAATTAAATTTACTGGTGACCAAGATGAGCAATTGGTAGAATTAGTAGCAGAAAACCGACCACTGACCACCGACAGAAAGATCCTTCTTCACGTCTGGTTTTGAATATTGAACTCATAGGTTTTCTTTGTTTCTTTCGCAACAAATAACACAGCAACACATCATCTTCTTCTTATTCTTCGAGTAACCTTTTTAGAAGCATTTTTGTACTCATTTTTCACAGAATATGTGCACGTATGTCTCAACAAAACAAAGAAAACAAACACTTTGCCGCATGTCTCGGTCGTCACCTCAAAAGTGTGTGGCGACAAGCTGCGATGTGTCCGTCTCCCTTCTCTGTCGCCTGCCTCGGTCGCTTGTCTCTGTCGCGTGCAGCCAAATTGTACCTCCAGGTTCAATCTGTGGGTCCCTGTACAATACTGAGGACAATTCAATGGCTGCTGAGATGTCACAGACAGAAACACATAAAAGAAAAGTCACGACAGCGTCGAAGCCGATAGCAGTGGAAAATGTCTGATTTATAGTAACGCAGTTTCTAGGAAATGCACGTCCTGGTCTTTGAAGCTGTGGATACCCCTGCAGCGATGATTCATTGCTGCTTCGAGTCATGACGTCATCCAGTGCCAATTCAATTACAGTGGTCGTGATAAATGCAACAAGCAAACAAGAAAGTTAAATTCCGAAAGAAATAACTGTACTCTGTGCTGTGGTTTTGTGTTCCTGACATTGAACGCAATAATAGTTACTAGGGCAATCACATGAACGATGAGGTTTGTGGGTCATATAGCACGCATGGGAGCCATGATAAATACAGGAGGCCGTATAAAAGCTGTGTGTGTGGATGGAGGATAATATTAAAAAGATGTTAGTGAAACAGCGAGTTGCTTGAATTGGTGTTACACCATAATTGTCTGCAGATCGTCATTTGTATAAGCTAGAAGATTCACTGAAGACAATTTAAACATCGCAACAAAGCATTGAAAAGGCATGGCACTGCTTTATATTCGCCGCTTTTAATATCGCGAGGAGAAAATTTCAACATCACAACTTAACATTCTTTTGTTTCGTTTCCGTCTTTCGATTTGCACAGTTAATACGTTTTTGGTAAGAAGTTCATAAAAGGAGCGCTATACGAAGAGGTTGATTCTCTGTCTGCCATCCGCTATGTTTCATCTCCGAAAATGACAGACGTCTTCATTAAATTTTCATCTTTGGAGTCTGGAGTGAAAATTTTGGACGAATCTCATTTTCGTACGTAACGGTCTAACGGTCCAGCGTGTACTGTTCTCTCGCATAAATGTCCTCAAAAACATTTAACATACAACAACCAAGATCTAGAACTTTGATCTGAAACATTTTCTCTATCGTGTGCACTGAACCTTACAATAAAAAAGTATTTTGCTGTGCTGCTCTGTGTACAACATTGAGTTATCTGTCCTGACAGCGTTACATCTTCGTTATTTCACAGCGACTAGAATATAACGTGGACTGAACCTTTTAGAACTACTAGAAGTTTTCATATTTGAAAATTAATACTCCGAAGGTTCGGCGTAGCCGATATAAAATCCCACGTTTCTGTATCAGCCTTTTCGGACTTCCAAGTGGTCACGTTTTCTGTCTACATTCTGTTGGCAGTTAGGGGATTCCCATACCAACTGCATTCCAGATCCAGTTTTAAAATGGCGTCTGAAGAGCGTGTTGTCCTTCTAGCGCTATCACCATTATCGAGGAAGAAATATGCTACCGCCCAATTCCGGCTTCTCCGTCTCTTTCTTGGTTGTCCCGGATCTTTCCTTCATCTTCCATTCGCTGTGTACGAACAATGAAGTTTCTTTGTAAGTCTATTTTTTGTTGTTCAATTCCTTTCTAATTTATGCGTTTCTTTATTTGAACTACTCTAGTACACCTTTCAACTGCTCTTAAGAATTACATATCTGCTGTTTTAATTTTACGGTCCATCCGCGTTCGTTTTTGCGTACAGATTGACTGTGTTGGTAAAATTATAACTTTCCACTCACCAGTTCGGTC